CTGCTACAAGATAGGAGTACAAAGATGAACGAGGCATAGGAGAACAAGCAGCTTTGGTTGTCTTGAGCTGGGTCATCCATAGCAGATCCTAGACTGTCGTAATACCCGCTCTAGTGGAAAGCTGGTTCTTTAAGGATTAATAGTTCAGAAAGGGGAGGCAGAGGAATACATGGGACTTGTGAAAAGAAGCTGATTAATGTATACGTTGAGAGGAGCTGGATTAGGTAAGACACTAGAGGAGGTGATGCCTTAGCTAAGTTCTGAAGAGTGAATAGGCATTAGCCAAGTGAATGAATGGAGTTGGGTATGAGAGAAGACTGCGCTAGGGAGAAGGGATAATATATGTGAAGACCTGTAGAGGGGGAGACAGAGGCACATTTGGAAACCTGCAAGGTGTTTAATGTATTTGGAATACAGTGGGTCCTCAAATAATATTGCTTCTTTCAACGTGGCTTTATTATAACATTGATTAGGAAAAATGATCAGTTCTCTGCTGGGGTCACCGTCTGGGTGGAGTTTGCACATTCTCTTCAGATCTGCATGAGTTTTCTCTGGGTATGCCTGTTTCCTCCCACATTCTAGAGATGTGCACATATGATTAACTAGTGTGTCCAAATTGTCCCAGTCTGAGTGTGTATGTGTGTCTCTGTGTGTGTGTGTATGCTTTGTAATGGAATGACGTCCTGTCCAGGGTTGGTTCCCACCTTGCTCCCTGAACTGCAGGGATAGGCTCAGACCATCTGCACCTTGAACTGGAATAATGGGTAAATAATTATCTTACTTGTTTTTATTAATCTCTCTTAAATGTCCATGTAGCTCACATTTATTTCAATGTGTAATATTAGACATGTTTCGGGTCTTTATTTAGAAAGTTGTTTTTGTGTGGCCAGAAATATGCCACCAAAACTTACTTATTGTTCATATCAATTAGCCTATGGTAAAATAATTTTCACTCTACATCGTTTTGCTTAAAGTTGCAATTTCCAGGAACCTATCAATGATATTAAGTAAGGACTTACTGTATATGGAGAGGAGAGTGGAGAGCATGAAGCTTTGGCGTAAAGGTGAGGAAATTGGGCTTTATCATAATGGATATTTATATTGATGCAGGATGGAATTTAGGTTAGGGAACAAGAGAAGGACAAAGGAGCTAGTAAGAGGGAACAGCCATGGACCAGGGAGGCGAGGCTGGAAGGAAAAGCAAATGAAGGCTGGAGGAAGCTCATAATTTGAATGAATGGTTCAGAAGATGCTGGGAACACACCTTGCCAGACTTCCCATTACTCCATGTATCACATCCTGGTCCATGGTGGAAGCAAAGCTGTGGAATTACTAATAAGACGTTGTTCAAAGGATTATTATATTTATCTCTCCATCCATTCTTAATCAAGGGCTTATGAATAAGAACAGTTTCTAAATGCTATTTATTCAGAATCTTCTCCACTAATTTGTCTCAAGAATTAGTCTTTGCTAGAAACTGTAGAACTGAGCCAAAGTGAATTCCTGTCAGTGTGAATGAGGTCAGAATACCTGAGTCACATAAGGTCCAGAGGGCAGGTAGCCAGCCAGGGCGCCTCTGTGCTAGCCAGGGTGTCTTAACAAGAGCCTAATGAATAATTTTTTGTTCTGAGGCATATGGCTTTTAGTCGAAGAGGACAACTCCTAGACAACTAGCTAGAACTTTGCAGAAAGGAGAGCAATGTTGCTTGACCATAAATGAAGGAGAATTACTTGGTGCTGCCATATTCTCTAGGGGCAAGTGCAGCTTCACAAAAGGGTGTCTTTTTTTGCCAGCAAAAACTAAAACAAACAAAAACCTTCCAACTCTTAGCTAAGGGGAATTCTGTGGATCTAACTTGTGTTCTTACTCCTTATAACTTCTTGTTATTTTGTTCCTTTTAAGTTATTGTACTTTATATAGGAGGTAGTAATTTGGAACATGGTTGACTTAACTACCCTGGTTGCATTGACATACATAGCGCTTAAATTGTGCCCAACACATTTCTAAGGGCTTTATGCATTAACTCGTTTAATGTTTTTACAATCCTAGAAGGTAGGTAGATGCTATTAATATCATCATTTCCAGTTTGCAGATGAAGAAACTGATGCAGAGAGACAAACTCATAGTAAAATAGCTATCTAGTCGAGTTTTGGACCCAGGGAGTATGGCTCCAGAGTCTATGCTTGTGACCTGGGGTTTCCAAGTTTTCATATGAAGTAGAAGCCGTGGAAAAGTATGTTAAGATGCAGAATCCCAGGCCACGCTCTCAGAAATTTGAATTTAATTTGTCATAGAGGGCCCTAGGTATTTCCACTTTTAACATGTGCCCTATATGCTTATGATGTGGGTGTTCCTCAGACTACACTTTGAGAAACATTGCTCTAAACTACTACATTATTTTGTCTTGTCACTGTTGTTGAAAGTCTGATTGTGCCCTGTTTCCTGCTATCCCAGTACACTGCAGAATGCAAAGAAAAAACGATGTGAAAATAATATTCTGTGGATGACTTCTATTTATCTATCATCTATCTATCTATCTAATCTATCTATCTATCTATCTATCTATCTATCTATCTATCTATCTATCTATCTATTTTTGTATATATTTTACAACATTGGTTCTGTCTATATACATATAAATCAGTTTGAATGAAACCAGTTTTAAGTGAAGTTTTAAAAACTTTACATGATATCAAGTATTTCTTTGGACTTAATCTTTATTTTTTTATTCTTTGAGACAGAGTCTTGCTCTGTCGCCCAGACTGGAGTGTAATGGTGCGATCTCAGCTCACTGCAACTTCTTCCTCTTGGGTTCAAGTGATTCTCCCACCTGAGCCTCCTGAGTAGCTGGGATTACAGGTACCCACCATCATGCCCGTCTAATTTTTGTAGAGATGGGGTGTCACCATGTTGGTCAGGATGGTGTTGAATTCCTGACCTCAGGTGATCCACCTGCCTCAGCCTCCCAAAGTGGTGGGATTACAGGTGTGCGCCACCGTGCCTAGCCTGGACTTAATATTTAGCTCTCTATTTTTATGCTCTATAGATTCATTTAGAAATAAATTTGTGGTCACTCTAAGAAGAGACAATCCTTGTATTTTTGTTACTAGATGCTTTGTGATCAAAAGGTGACACATGTGTATAGTTCTGATACTGGGGTCAGAACTAATGTTTTTTGTGTCATTTTATAATGGCCTTTTAATGCATGTCGCTATGCTTTGAGAATGTGACCTGGTCTATGGCATTTTCCTATTTATTAAAAAATGTCTAGTGTTTCTTGTGAGTTTTACTATATTTCTTTTAACTCTCTGCCATAATTCTTATGCAACTGTGATAAAAGATGTGCTGTCAGAGTAGAGTGAACATTGAACTCAGTGCTAAAATGATCAGATACTATTTGGAGTCTCATTTTTAAAATCTGAAATAAAAACAGTATCTTTTTTCAATCTTATATTTATCTAAATTGGGTATTCAGAGGCATCTGTTTTTAGGTTAAAATTATAATTCATTTCCACTTGATAGAAAAAAGGAAAAAAATAATCAGAAAGTCCTCACCAGTTACAATGTAGCCCTCTGAATTGACAAAGGTTCCAGACAGCTTCATCCTCTCCCTTAACACCAATATCCTTGGACTTATAATGAATGTCCCTTCCTCTAACTATAACTAAGTGAAATGATGTGAGAGACAGAGCTCTTGCTTGGGGAAGAGAAAGAGGAGGGTGGGGGATGAGATTTTCTAGAGACTAGAACAAAGGAATCTTAACAAAGATGGCAGAGGCTCAGAATGCTTAGTGCATCAATAGAGGCAGGAACCAAAGTGAGAAGGGAAGAGAGGAACTTTGAATGACAGTGAAGTGTGAATTATTTTCCATATCCTCCTTTTATTCTCCAGTGGACTCAAAATCTTGTGTTGTGATACATCTCCTAAGAAGCAGCTTGTCTCTTGTTTCCTTTTGCCTCTGACCATGTTCCAGAAAGTTCTGCACTCACGGGCCTAAACACTGAGAAAGGACCACTCCGTTTCCCCCACTTTCCAACTGAAGCTTTGTACTGTTTTGGCAGCCTGGGTGGATTTAACCTAACTTAGAAACTTTCCTATAAGGATACAGTTATTTTTTATTTTTTTATCCTCTTTAGATTGGGGGTATGCCAAAAAGAAATAATTGACTTCTGCTTCTGACCAAGATGAAGTAACTGAGACCAAGTTTATCTTTCCAATTGAATCAATGAAAAAAAATCAGGCAAAATATATAGAACAAAGTTTGTTAAGACGTTGGAGATCAGGCGATGAAAAAGTGATACCTGGGGGATGGGGAGCAAGCAAGGTGAGCTCTGTATTTGCCTCAGGTTATTGCTTGAATGAGTTCTCAGGTGGCTGTCCAGGGAGAGGAGACGCAGGTGGGGCCAGTGGACCCAGTGAGTTGAGAGGACCTGAAAGTCTAGGAAGACAAAAGCAGCTAGAGTTTGCAGGACAGGGTTCTGGAGAACAGAGAGCCACAGAGGAGAGAAGTCCAGAGACCTGCTAAGGGTCTCCTTTCACTTTTTTGTTTGTTTGAGACAGAGCCTCTCTCGTTCTGTTGCCCACACTGGAGTGCAGTGGTATGATCTCAGCTCACTGCAACTCTCCCTCCCAAAGTGCTGGGAGCCACTGTGCCTGGACTCTCCTTCAATTTTTATCTTTTTTTTTTTTTTTGAGATGGAGTCTCACTCTGTCACCAGGCTGGAGTGCAGTGGTGCCAACTCGGCTCACTGCAACCTCCGCCTCCCGGGTTCACGCAATTATCTGCCTCAGCCTCCTGAGTAACTGGGATTATAGGCGTGTGCACCATGCTTGGCTAATTTTTGTATTTTTAGTAGAGATGGGGTTTCACCGTCTTGGACAGGCTGGTCTTGAACTCCTGACCTCATGATCTACCCACCTCTGCCTCCCAAAGTGTTGGGATTACAAGTGTGAGGCACCGCTCCCGGCCGTCTCCTTTGATTTTTTTTTTTTTTTTAAACAAGCAAGACTTTATTTCCTTGTTTTGCATATAAAGCTGGCTAAGTTGGTTGCTTTTTGGTAATTAATCAAAGAGACCAAATCCCATATCCTCGTCCAACTCCTCCGACTCTTCCTTGGCTTCAACCTTAGCTGGGACTGCAGCAGCAGCAGCAGCAGGAGCAGCCATAGTGGCAGCGGCCACAGGGGCAGCAGCCACAAAGGCAGATGGATCAGCCAAGAAGGCCTTGACCTTTTCAGCAAGTGGGAAGGTGTAATCTGTCTCTGCATACAAGGCCAGGACTCATTTGTACCCGCTGATGATAGAATGGGGTACTGATGCAACAGTTGGGTAGCCAATCTGCAGACAGACACTGGCAACATTGCGGACACCCTCCAGGAAGCGAGAATGCAGACTTTCCTCTGTGATGTCATGCACTTCAGGGTTGTAGGTGCTGCCATTGTCGAACACCTGCTGGATGGCCAGCCCAAAGGAAAAGGGGGAGATGTTGAGCATGTTCAGCAGCGTGGCTTCGCTGGCTCCCACTTTGTCTCCAGTCTTGATCAGCTGCACATCACTCAGGATTTCAATGGTTCCCCTGGAGATTTTAGTGGTGATACCTAAAGCTTGGGAAAAGGAGGTCTTCTCGGGCCCGAGGCCAGTGTTCTGGGCTGGCACAGTGACTTCACATGGGGCGATGGCACCAGCATGGGCAGCAGCTGGCACCTTATTGGCCAGCAACATGTCCCTGATCTCACTGAGGTCCTCCTTGGTGAACACGAAGCCCACATTCCCCCGGATATGAGGCAGCAGTTTCTCCAGAGCTGGGTTGTTTTCCAGGTGCCCTCTGATGGCCTTGCGCATCATGGTGTTCTTGCCCATCAGCACCACGGCCTTCCCACAAAGGGACATGCGAATCTGCTGCATCTGCTTGGAGCCCACATTGTCTGCTCCCACGATGAAACATTTCGGATAATCATCCAATAGTTGGATGATCTTAAGGAAGTAGTTGGACTTCCAGGTCGCCCTTTCTTCCCTGGGCATCACGGCGGTGAGTCAGGGATTGCCACGCGGGGTTTAAAGACGATGTCACTTCCACGAGGATGCCTGGTGAGGGAAGCTCCTTTGATTTTTAAGGAGAATGTTGATGGGCACGTGTGTATGAGAAAACTTCTCTTGCCTCCCAGAAAAATTAGAAGAAAAAGTACCAATAACTCACACAGAGATAGAAATAGTGCCTATTTCCATCACCCAGATGGGAAAACTTATAATTCATGGGACATTGGGTAGAATACTTAGAAAAATATTGTCTAGCAGTGGAGAATTATTAGCTCTAGACTAAATGCTGCTCTGGTATTGCCTAATGAATCTCAAAAGCATGATTCAAATGTGTCAGACTGTTTCCAAGTAAGGTAACTGTGTCTTTGAACAAAACTCAAAAATATCTGTAGAAATGCATATATATCCAGCACCTATCAAGGGAAAATTCAAAATGTCTGGAATTAATTTAAAAATTACTAGGCATGCAAAAAAGTGGTAAAATATGACCAATGATGAGGAGAAAAACCTGTCAATTGACACCAGACCAAAACTTGCTTAGATGTTAGAAATCGCCAACAAGGACATTTCAACAGTTATTGTAACTGTATTATTCTATAGCACAAAAGCTATAGCAAAAATGTTAAGTTCAGACCTGGAAAATAAAAAAGGTCCAAATTGAACTTACAGGGCTGAAAGCTATAATGTCTTAAATTAAAAAGACACTGTATGAGGTTAACAGCAGCTTAGACATTTTTAAAGAAAAGATTGGCCAGGCGTGGTAGCTCATGCCTATAATCCCAGCACTTCGGGAGGTCAAGGCAGGTGGATCACCTGAGGTCAGGAGTTCAAGACCAGCCTGGCCAACATAGTGAAACCTCATCTCTACTAAAAATACAAGATTAACTGGGCCTGGTGACATACTCCTATAACCCCAGCTACTAGGGAGGCTGAGGCAGGAGGCAGGAGAGTCACTTGAACCTGGGAGGCAGAGGTTGCGGTAAGCTGAGCCATTGCACTCCAGCCTGGGCAACAAGAGCAAAACTCTGTCTAAAAAAAAAAAAAAAACAAAAAACAAAAAACTAAAATGAAACATAGAGACAAAGGAATAAAAAAATTTTTTTAAAGTGTCAATGCACTGTGGGACAACTTCAAGCAGCTGAAAATATGCATCATTTACTTATTCAAATAGCTAAAAAGACTTGAGTATGTCAAATATTGGCCAAAAAAATATATATATATATTTATATATATATATGGTCTAGCTATTCCATTCCCAAGTATTTTCCCAAGAGAAAGGAAGTCAAATGTCCACAAAACAAAGACTTGTTTATAAATATTCATAGAAACTTTATCTTGTAATTATTAAAACTGGAAACAACCCAAATGCCTATTGACAGATGAATGGATGGTATATCATCCATTTGTATGGTATATCCATACAATGAACACTGCTTAGCAATAAAAAGGAATGAACTATTGATATACACTGTAGGGATGAATGTCAAAATAATTATGCTAAGTGAAAGCAGCTAGACAACAGAGAGTACATATCATATGATTTCTTTTCTTTTTCTTTTTCTTTTTCTTTTTTTAAGACAGAGTCTCGCTGTGTCACCCAGGCTGCAGTGCAGTGGTGTGATCGTGGCTCACTGCAACCTCAGCCTACCCGGTTCAAGCAATTCTCCTGCCTCAGCCTCCTGAATAGCTGGGATTACAAAAGCCTGCCACCATGCCTGGTTAAGTTTTACATTTTTAGTAGAGATGGGGTTTCGCCATGTTGGCCAGACTGGTCTCAAACTCCTAACCACAAGTGATCCCCCTGCCTCGGCCTTCCAAAGTGTTGAGACTACAGGTATAAGCCACCGTGCCCAGCCCCATATGATTTTATTTATATAAAATGCTAGATGATGCAAAATAATCTATAGTGACAGGAAGCAGACCAGGGATTGCCTGGACCCACGGCAGGGATTGGGGAGGCAGGTAAGTGAGGTAGTGAGAGATTAAAAAGGGGCACAGAAACTTTTGAGGTTATTAATATATTCACTCTCTTGATTATGTTGATGTCATTTATTGTGTGCTGGTTATGCATGTAGTAAAGTTATTTTGAAAAAGAAATAACTTTTCCCAAACGATGAGCCATGTATCTTATATAGAAGGCCCTGGAATTACTTAAAAAATAACTTAAGCAGGAAATGTTTTGTTCTACAATAGTTGGTAGGAGAAGGTACTTTTTTCCCTGTTAAAACCCATTACTCTCTGGAATCTAGGCCTCAGGAATCTGGGGAGGGGCTAGAGGCATGGTCTCTAGGCTGTACCAGCTGAGGCTCCCCACCGGGAGATAATCCCAGGGCCACACTGCAAGGGATAGTCATGAAGGTACAGAACTAAGTAAATGTTGTGCCAGGAAGGAGGAGCCAAACATAGACCAGAGGAAAAAACGATAGTGTTGTGAACTCAAAAGGAAGAATTAAGATGCCACGTGGAAAGGGCTAGCAGAGTCTAAAGGTTAGTGAGAGGAGGTTTAGAGGCTGAAAGGAATTAAACAGAAGTAGAGAAAGGCAAATGCAGGCTCAGGCCAACATGGGAGTCTCTGATAAACAACAGTCATCCCTTTGGACTTCCTCTGGTCAACGTTTGATCTGTTCTGCTGCTGCAAAGCAAAGCTAAGAAGCAACAGAAATGCATGCAACAGTTATAAGACATTGCATAATTCATAAGAATGATTTCATTGTGTAGGTTATAGCAACATCTAGATAGAAACCCTTGGCAAATGTGGTGGAAGGGAAAAGAAATCGAAAATCGATTTATTTAAACATCAATGAAAAAAGGTATTCAGAAGGTTAAGTTTTTTGTCCTTCCGCAGGGTTCCATCAAGGTATTTCCATTGGTCTGGGCTATGAGATAGAACAGCTTTTAATCTATGTGCATCAGCTGGTACTTGAAGAAAGGTGTGCAGTTAGGTGTAACAGATTTCGTTAATAGTGTTTTATAATTACATTGCATTTTCAAATTTATAAAATTCTTTCACATGTTTTATCTTTCTCATGTAGAGTTCCTATTTTTTAATCAGACTAATTACTCTGTTAAAGATTATTTATATCAAATAATTTATAAAGTAAATATTACAGTAGTCAGAATAAAAAGAAAGATTCACTCTGGGTCATTAGCTACGGTTAGAAATAATCAAAACATAGGCTGGGCACGGTGACTTATGCCTGTAATCCCAGAACTTTGGGAGGCCGAGGTGGGAGGATCACTTGAGGTCAGGAGTTCAAGACCAGCCTGACCAATGTGATAAAACCCCGTCTCTACTGAAAATACAAAAATTAGCCAGGTGTGGTGGTGCATGCCTATGATTGCAGCTACTTGGGAGGCTGAGGCAGGAGAATCACTTGAAACCAGGAAGCAGAGGTTGCAGTGAGTGATCATGCCACTGCATTCTAGCCTGGGTGATACAGCCAGACTCCATCTTAAAAAAAAAGAAAAAAAAATTAATCATCAAAACATAACCTTTAATAAGGAGTCTTAGAAATAATTAAACTTGCATTGTCCAATACAGTAGCCACTAACTACATGTTTATTTTAAATTTAAATCGATTAAAATTAAATAAAAGTAAAAATCCAATTCTTCAGTCATTGTACTTACATTTACATACGCAATAGTGCTCAGTATCACTAGGGCTACCATATTGGATAGTGCAGATATAGAACATTTCCTTCATTGGCGAAGGTTCTATTGGACAGTGCCAATCTAGACAAATCCACTCCTGTTTTTAGTGGCTAAAAACTTACTTTTAAATTGAATTTAACTTTAGAGCTGGAGAATTTGAGGCCCACAGAAGTTAGTGATTTATACAAAGTCACACAAGAAGAACCTGAAAATGGTCCAAATTTCCTGACTTCTATATGAGTGATCATTTTAGCACCTCATACCACCAAACTTTTATTTTTAATTCTGCTCTTGAATAAGAGAGGATTGGATACTCCAAGCTGGCAAGTAATCAAACACTCATTTAGTTTTTTGTTTGTGATCTACACTTATATTTGAAGTTAGGCAGAGCTAACTTCAAACAGTATTAATGATGTCAACGCTATAAAGACATGATGCAGAGGAACTTGGAAGCATTTCAGTTTCCTTGCTCTGTTTCTTTTTACACGTTCTTGTTCAAGCCACTCTACTCCATGCTGAGACCAGACAGTTTGTTCTTAGGTTAACAGAAAAACAGGCAGAATCGCCTCCTCTTAAAGCATCCCTGGAGCACCAGGTGGGAAAGGGCTCAGATTTTTAAAGGTTGCTCAGTGGGGCTTTGAAAATTAAAGAGAGCCCAGAAGAGATGTGGAGAAAGCATGCAATTACATTTGAGAAGGTGTAGCCTTTCCACTGGGTGCATTCTTGATGAGACAGCAAAGTGAGTCATTAAACAGTAGGCTGTCAATAAAGCTGAGACCCAGATTTGCTATGGATCAGTTGCAATGCCAAAAATTTAACCGTCTAAAAAAGCCATGGGCAGATCCTTGGTGAACCCTTGGACCTGTTTGCATTACAAGCTTACAATCTTTATTTTTCTGAAAAGAAATAGAGAAAGGAGTAGATGTATATTGAAGAATTGCTGATGAAATGCAAGCGTTCCTTATAAAAATTACGCAGGATCATTTTGGAAGGTCAATAATTTATAGCCTTTTTACTGGCCTCGGGGAAAAATGATCACTTCCACATTTGAATTTTAGTAAAAGTTGTTTTTCCTGGATCTCCATTAAATTTCATCCAGCTTTTGGCAGAAATTGTCTTCCTGGACCCTACTGGAGTGCTGGCTGACGAGTTACATCTTCCATGGGGCCACAACTCCCTAACGAATTCTGGGAGAGCAGCCTGTTTTTGTTACCAGACGCTGGAGGATGCGTGACATGTCATTAACCTTCAAAACTGGCTCTGCACAAGAGTATTGTCAACAGATGGTGACTCTGATTCTCTCTCTCTCTCTCTCTCTGTCTCTCTCTCTCCCCTCTCCCTCCCTTCCTCCTCCATCCCCAGGGTATCTTCTGGCACAGAATGCTCACTGGTTTCAAAGGGAAATTTGTG